GCTGTTGCTACCCAGGACTGAGCATCTCCTTAATTCCTGCTTTTTGATGCTTATCATGTAGTTTTCACAACCCAACTAGAAATGTCTTAAAGAATAAAGAAAAGCAACCTAGAAGGTGGCCTCAAACGTTTCGTAAGATGCTGTTCAAAGTAAGAAAGAAATACTTTTAAGTATTTATCACTAGCATTACAACAAGAACTAAAGAACTAATTATTGTTCACCCATGGCATTTTTTATTCTGCCCAACTTTCTCATAGTTGTTTATTCCTACATACTTAGTGCTATCCACTGAGTGAGGGCTCTCAGTAGTTAGTAAGAGTCTTCCAGATGAGGGAAGGTGAAAGGAGAAAGCTTTTATGGAATAAAAGAACAAAAGAAAAAGGAAAAATGAAAAAAAAAGAAGAAAAAAAAGTGGGGGAGCAGCAAGCAGTAAGGGTCACTGCAATCCTGAATAGAACACGACTTATCAGATCCAAAACCCAGCCAGCCTTTGAGTTGGAACACATTTTAATAAAATATATGTAGAGGGATAAGGACTTTTTGCGTGAGTTACAACTTGAAGGAATATTAAAGCAACTTGATTTTCAGAAGCATTTAACACATGTACAGCGAGTCAATCATCCAAAATACTTTTGGAAGTCTTGGCCAGCCACTTGAAAAGATTTCTCAAAATCCCTTTGGATTTTAACCCCAAAGCTCCAATATAACTGAGGGTAGTCTTTTCCCCCCAGTGACTAACCCAAACCTTTAGAAGGAACACATGGGGAAGTGCAGAGCTCTGAAGAAATGAATGTTCCATTTTAGCTGCGGATGCTAATGTAGGGGAGCATCCTGGCCAGCGGGGAAGACTGGTGGAGAAATGGAAGGGAGGGAGAAGGGAGGCAGTTAAAAGTAATGCTAACAAGACATACAGAAAAACCAAAATTTTCCCCCCACTTCTGTAGCTTACAATTTTCAGGGCTTTATTATTATTATTATTGTACGATTTTGTCTTTATTATTTTGTTGTTTGCTTTAACAGTCCCGCCAAAAAACCAAAACTCTTCTTGCTTTCTTAGAGTAGATAATGCTTTTTCAACCCAGCTATTTCAGTGCTTTATTACCAAACGGTATCGCAAGCGACAACTTGGCACTCTGTAACAAGTACTGTCTTTTCAGAATATTTAGCTGAATATTTATGAACTATTTATACACATAATTGTTCGGTACTAATGTGAATACATATTTATTCCTATAAACGGACAAAATTAACCCTGGAAAAGCCACAAGTGCAAATGCTAACAGCCATGAGCAGAGCAACTCCAATCCTCCCAACTACTCTCAGCTCACCATCTTTTCCCATTATCAGGGTAAGTGGTAACACCAGTGAGAAACACGGGCTGGCAGCTGGTAGCAACTTCAATATGTGCTGAATAAAAAGACCAAGCACAGAGGTATGAAAATGCCAAATCTATTTGTGTGGCACTAGTGACACATTTTGCAAAGGTGCTGCTCAGTGGGTGCCTATACCCCGAAAACCATCGAGGATCACATCAAGCCACGTCACATTAAGTCTCTTTCCCTCATGCCTTTCTGCTGGCACAGCAAATCCAAACTTATTGACAAGGTGAACTAAATTCTACGGTCACAAATGGCCAAAGAGGCAGGACAAGTGGTGAGGATGAGCCAGACCTTCGTGGGTCCCGTGACTGTGGAAGCCCAGGCTACCACTGGGTGTGTTTCACTGCTGCAGGAGGAGCGATGCTGAAATTCCTGAAAGCAGCCAAAAAAATTGGCTCTCAAGTACCATAAAATTCCAGGGGCACCACTTACGACCACAGTCAGTCCGAGGTATTTAGTTTAAGAATGATTAATCACAGATGAATCAGCCTTTTGTTTCTTTTCTGACATTTCAGAACCCTTTCTAGTATTCCATCTATCTGAAGTCTGGCCATGCCTTGATACCGAAGGAGACTGCTTGAAAGAATTCCATTTACTTTGGCCTGCCTACAAGTCTGGATAAAGATTTCAGTCAAAACACCTCTTCACATCGTAGAATGCTCTTAAAACGGTACACAGAGATAACACAGCAAGAGGACATTAAATCTCTTACACACTTCAAAGTACGCTGATAGTTATTTTCAAGGTTGGCAGAGGGGCTTCAGGGAAAGATCATTGACCCAAACAAGTAATGACAGATGCTCCAATTGCAGTATTTGCATGCAAATATTGACACTGAAAAATACCTCAGAAAACCCAGAACTAAGGAAAGTCACGTAGAATGTATCACCAACAGATCCTATCCAACACAAGAACTGAGAGGAGAACTTGATTTAAGGTCAACAGAGGTGTGAAGAGCAAATGCATGCAGCAAGTACACTTACTATTTACAAATAGTAAATCTACAAAGCACAAACCCAAAATCAATTGAGCGTCACCCACCATGAGACTCAAAATCAGTATCAAAAAACTGTAATGGAAAGAACAGAAAGGATCTCAAAGAGTTCAGCGGTGATTGGAAAAATGTGAATTTAGTAACATAGAGCAAAATTTTTTGACTTGGAAAGATGTGGGATAAAACAGCATATCAGTACAGGAAAAAATCCAAGATCCTCTCAAGCATCTCTTTGATGTGGCTGTTCATTGAAGGTGGTTCTTTTATTTCTGTAACTATAAATAAGTTTGAAAACAACTGTCTTTAATCGAAAAGCATTAACAAGTACAGCTCTAGTACTTAAATGCATGAGAAGCAAGCCTGAGACCAACATCATCCTGAACTAAAATACTTTCTTATATTTAAAATTTTATCAGAGACTCCAAAAGGCATTAGGAAAAAGACTTTGCATCTCATGAGCCCTGGAAAATTTTCCAGGAGAATTTTCCAGGAGACTATTTTCCAACATAAGAGCGACCACATCTAACAAAGCCTGAGAAGTTTTACCACAAGGTCGTGAGTTTCTTCAGAGAACCATTTTCATCTTGTATTACCCTAACCTACCCGGAAAAAATGGAACAAAGCCATTGCTTAAGGTTTTTCATAGCATTTTTCCATATTAGCATAGTTAATAGGACTACAGAAATCCTTTTGTCTCAATGTGATGTAGGTTTTATTTTACCAGCTCATAAATATTAACCCATACATGGGAACAAATCTAAAAGAAGTTGGGAACTGAAACCCAGCCTAATATTGCAATATATTGCCTTCTCCCATCCTCACTGATTTCACTGGTACTCCTCCATCTTCAAATCACACTGCAATCAAATGCAAGCTGTTTGGGAACAACAGGAAGAAAAGGAGTTTTTGTGAAGAGAAAAATACGTTATAACACTCCCAACTACAATTTATTCAATTTCCATTATTTAAGAATGAAAACTAGAAGCACCGTGAGAATCTTATACTCTTGATACAATCATTTTCAAGCAACAACACAGGCCCCACAGAAGAGATACCACATTATAATAAATAATACCAATGTATAGTGGCTACTGAGGTTAGCTCCCAGCCTTACAGCATTTAATCTTCATATTTTAATAGTTTGCCGGCTGCTTTAATACATTGACTCATGTATGAGCTTTGTTTAATCCACATATACAAAGTTCACATTTTTATTAAAACTTACTACAAGCAGCTGGACCCAAAGTTTCTCAGCAATGTTGTCTTTCAGAACTGGGATGCTCGTTGCTATTATAATCAGATTTGTTTCTTTTCTTAAGTGCCATAGTAAATGAAATGCATCCCAAACTTTTAAATATTTCCAAAGAACAGAGCAGGTAATGAGAACCTGTGGATCAAGCTGGTGATGTGAGAGCCTTTAAGACAATTTCGATGTCAGAGGCAGTGATTTCCAGCTCACCCATTTGCTTCCCTCAAACTTAATATTCTGTTTGCCAACAGATGTAGATGGTAAACTCAAGCTGACAAAGAAAGGGGGGAAAAAGTAAACAAAACAAAAAAAACCACACAAAAAAAGACAAACAACTAACAAAAGGAGGAGGAGGGATTTGTTAATTTCAGAAGACTGAATCATCATGGTCACCTGTAGTGCAGGCCACAATAAAAGCTGAAATGGGTTTTCCTCACAACCATCACTTCAATGAGCATTGCAATTTTTTGGCTTTTTGAAAACTAGCTGAGAGCACTGCAGATTTTTAGAAAACATTTTTAGAAAAAAGATTTTAGAAAAGAAAAGACTGCACCTCTTACTCTATTTTTCATGAGCTTTGTATCTTTTTACGTTATTAACAGATATATCTGGTTACATTCAGCAAATTTCTGTCAATGTTCAGGACTCTGAAATTATATCATAATATTAAAAAGCAATGATACATTTAAAAAGAAAAGATACCACATTCAGGAGATGCAAGAGCTACAGAAGAGAGACACCCACAGGCGCTCAGGTTTAAAACAAAGTTGAAACCAAGAGGGTTACACAAAGGAGGTTTGGTGACAGGATGGTTATTCTAAACATTCTGTGGATTTTCCTGATTTATTTTTTTCTTCAAAACTCTGCCACCTGGCTCAAACTTGCTGCCAACCGAGCTTCCCACTGGTCCGATTGGCAGCACAAGTCCCCTTTCTCTAACAAAAAAAACCAAAGAGGAAAAACCCAAGCGCAGCCAAGACCACGAAGGCACGTTATCGCTGCCTACGGTCACTAAGCAACAGGTCCACAAATATGCAAATCTAAAACCAGGAGAATTTGAGTCTATTGGAAGATACGCCGTAAACATGAGATAGCCAGGTAACAAATTACAAACTATTATCTGACAGACTCGAAAAAATCTCTCCATGTGAACAGCTTTTCAGCCAACTTGTAATAAATACCACATGCAGCTAAATTTAAAAAAAATAAAAATAAAAAATTCCTAAGCCAAGTTAAATAGTAACCAATGTTCAATTTTAACCATATAAAGTCTACATTAAAATCCGAAATGACAATTACAAAATATTGTATTACTATGAACACTGTCAAATGCTTTGAATAATAGCACACTAAGGAAATAAGTAAAAACACACTTTACCTTGTATCTCATTTTGGGGCATGAATGAATGTAGAAACCCATATAATAAAAACAGAGATCAGGAGCTTTTTCGTGAAGTTGCCTGGTAAAAGCAATTTCCCTGTGAAAGGAGAGAAGAAACTAATTACTTCTGAGTACAATTCTTATATTCATTTTACCTCTTCATATTGAAATATTTTACAGCTACCTGGCTCTTGACCTATCAAATAAAAAAAATGAAGACAAACTCAAAATTAATGCTTAAAAACTCCCAAAGATAATAAACTGAAAATTAATGCTTAAAAAACAAAAAACCAGATCACCAAAATGCAAAACACCATGTCAGGCTCAAAATACTTTCATTTTTGTGTTTTCTCCTGCCAATTAACTGACTTGAAATTCAAATAAAAGTGACTAGGAGCCTCTATTTAACGGGTTTCTTGTTGATATTCACATACATTGGTATTCTACAGAAATATGTCACAGCTATTGTAGACTGATTGGCAAACATCTGAGTATTTTTAAAAAACCAGATTCAAAGATAAGCCTCTTGTTTGTTCCCTTATTTGCATTCAAGCAATTTACATGTAAAAACATCCATCTTTATGCAACAGAAGGTATTTTTCATCTAGCCCATGTTTGTTTGTATGATTTTCTCATTTCTTCTGAAAGAGATGTGTTAATGGATTCCAAAATAATTTTGCTTTTTATTTTACTGGGACTAGTATTATCACAAAGATTCTGTTGGTGTTTCCAATATAATGCTCATTTTTACAGTGTTTGTAACTTTGCAGTTCACATTTGTACCAAGTTTGAAAAAAATATGTCTGGTGGTTCTTACTTTCAATGTTGAAGGGACAAGAGGATATGAGCATGAGCATACAGGAAGCATGTAAAAATATTGTTTGTTTTTTTAAATCAATTAATATTGTTAGCAATTAAGACATTTAAATACATTAAAAACCTAACATTTCAGTTTGCCAAGACCGTCATGGGTCCATGATAACTCTGTATCAATATACATGTAGAAATACTGTTTGTTTTTTAAAATCAATTAATATTAAGTTAGTAATTAAGACATTTAAATACATTAAAAACCTAACATTTCAGTTTGCCAAGACCGTCATGGGTCCATGATAACTCTGTATCAATATACATCTGTTCCAAGAGGAGAATGCCTAGAAATAAATTACTCCACATCTGGAAATCCAGGTAAATACAACAGTGAGATTTACGTACTCCCAAAAATCTACAAACATGCACTTCATATATGTAATCTTTAAGACATGGCAGAAAGTTAAACAATCAGACTGTTTCATGCAGATTATCCTGGAGCTAATTAAAACAAATACCTTCCTGCTATTCAAAAAACTGGAACACTACAGGGAAAAAACATTATCTTTGCATTTCAAAATCTCTTCTACTCTCTTTCCGATTGGATGACACTGTCTGATTTCACAAAACAAGAAGACTCAAAGTGAGCAGAAAGGGAAATAAACAGACCATAGGGTAATGAGAGAAAAACTGGGCTGCAGGAACAGCCTGACCATGGGCAATAAAGCTTCATGCAAGCAAATCAGTGCCCGTGCTACCAAAGGTAGTTGGCTTAGAACTACTGCCCATGTCTTCACACGTCCTGTGGCCTCCAGTGATATGTCCCCACTACAGACCCTTAACTCAATTTCTTGCTTTATCTTTATTGTTCTCTACAACTCCCTGAAAGGAGAGCATAGCGAGAAGGAAGTTCTGCTCTTCTCCCAAGTCACAAGCGATGGGACAAGAGAAAATGCCCTCAAGTTGCACCAGGGGAGGTTCAGATTGGATAGCAAGAAAAATTTTTACACTGAAAAGGTGGTTAAGCATTGGAATGGGCTGCCCAGAGAAGTGGTGGAATCATCATCCCTGGAGGCATTTAAAAGACAGGGAGACGTGATGCTTAGAGATATGGCTTTGTGATGGTTTTTGTCAGTGCTACATTGATGGTCGGACTAGATGATCTGAATGGTCCCTTCCGACCTAGACAATTCAATGATCTTTCATTCATCTATTTGGCCAATCCCACTCCAGGCAAAGTTTAGCTGGGGGAATGCTAAACCATCCTTCTCCTTCCTGTAGAAGGAGTGTGCGCTGTGATCCCATGCAAGAGAATCCTCCGACACCATCATTTTAAACCAGAAGCAGCAATCGGGTGCCATTGTAACACAAAACTCACATCTACCTGCCTTCATCCTGCCTAAATCCCTACGGAAAAGGGACTCAGACAGACTTGCAATTACCTTTTTGTAAAGCTCTCAGTTACGGTACATCTCTAACGAGTTGTAACGGCTGTTGGAGCTTGGCAAGAGTCAACTAGTGAGGAAGACACATACTTATTTCATCAATACAAAATTCAGACTTAGTATTTCAGTGCTACATAATCCAAATTGAAAAGAAGGTCAAGTACTTGTCCTCTTACGAAACAGAGGTTATGAATACTCTGCTTGTCTAGGAGTCATGATTTTAGGTATTTGAGGGAAGGGTTAATTTTTTTCTGCAAATAAGAATAAGAATCACTCAATATTTCTTGATTTATTTTTTTCCCCTCTTTGGTAAGACTAGTATTTCACAAGTAGCTTCTTCTCCCCTCATTCTTTACTTACACGCCTACATATTTCAAACGATCTTCAAATCCCATCCTTTCTTCGACTCAGCAGCAAAAATTCCCCAAGTAGCATGAAGTGGAAGTGACAGCGCTGCAACGCAGTTTAACCTCCTCAGAGTAAAATTGGCAACAGCTTTGAAGGTATCAGATTCCTTTGCAACTTCCTAAATCCTCCCTAACTCTCAAGATTATTTTTTTTTTCTCTTTTTGAAAGAACAACAAGGCTGGCTCCCTCTAAGACTGTTGGGAACTCATTTTTATTGCCCTTAAATGCTGCAGAATTTATAAGCTGCTTTTTCACTAGTTGAGCCACGCACGCATGTTGCGCCGACAAAGTTTTAAATTTATTATGTAGAAAATTTAAAATCATTTCAAGAATTCCTAAGCATGGATTATGTCAGTGTATTATGACATAAAGTAATCTGATATGTACAAATGCTAAAAAATAACCCGTAGGAGGACTTAATATTTTATGTGCTCACCTCACATGGAAAAAAATACTAGCCTAATTTCAAGTATCTTGCATATGTAATGAAGTACTTCTAAAAACCTAGACCACTAATAGACAGAAAGAAGATAAATTTGAAATCACAGGAGTTCTAACATTTTTTCTACATTTGTTAATGCTGATTAATTTCATAAAATCGCCAATGCCACTGAGTAGGAGGACTTAATATTTTATGTGCTCACCTCACATGGAAAAAAATACTAGCCTAATTTCAAGTATCTTGCATATGTAATGAAATAGGAGGACTTAGTATTTTATGTGCTCACCTCACATAGAAAAAAAATAATAGTCTAATTTCAAGTATCTTGCATATGTAATGAAGTACTTCTAAAAACCTAGACCACTAATAGACAGAAAGAAGATAAATTTGAAATCACAGGAGTTCTAACATTTTTTCTACATTTGTTAATGCTGATTAATTTCATAAAATCGCCAGTGCCACTGAATGCATCAGAAAAAATGACGATTCAGACTCTTTTAGACATAGACCACTGGAGATGCTACAGCAACAGCTCCATTAATGCTCATGGATTTGAAGTTAGCCCTGATTTGCACTGGAACTGGACCAGAAGACATCCAGAGGTCCCTTCTGACCTAAAATCTTATGTGATTCTACAGTTTCTTCTTCATAAAGAACCACTCCAGAAAAAGGTGAGGAGAGCTAACAGTAAGGTAACGTTATCAGCTCCTATTAAAGGTGACAGACTTGGAGAAAATGTCACTTTAGGACTTCACTGATCTACGATCTTACCAGAGGTGGAAGAAAGACCTGCTCTCCCCCTCCCTGGCCATTCTCATCTACACGTCGTGGTTCCATCACAACTCTTGCACCAGCTCTGGTGTTAACAGGTTCTTCACTGAGCCAACTCCCCTCACTAACCAGGTTGCTAAAGCAAACAGTTTTCTGTTCTGTAAATTAAAGTGGCTCAACACATGGTTTCTAGAAGCCCAGCATAGAGCAGAGATGGAGAGGAACGACTGCAGCACCTCATTTCAGCAGCAATAAACCATCGGGCTGATGTCAGCAATTTAATAGTGAACTTTGTGGGAAAACCCCTTTGACATACGCATTTGAACAACCCATGTAAAGATTATTCAGAAATCACAAAATTCACCGCTACAAAGAGAAGAATACACCCAAAAGGAGAATTAAAAAAAAAAAAAGATCCTTAGGAAATCAAAAGATCCTAATCAAAATCCAAACAAATTATAAGTAATTGCAGTTCTGAGAGATTAAATTGCATGTGGTTTATTAGTTATCGCAAAAGTACATTAAGTAACTGCGATAAGGAGAGGTTTCCTAAAAACAGTGTTTGCACTTTCCATATTTCAAAAGTCATGTGAAGTAACTGTGATAAGGAAAGGTTTCCTAAAAAACAGCGTTTGCACTTTCCATATTTCAAAAGTCATGTCATATTTACCCACCCTGGTGGGTTACACTAAACAAGAGCTACAAAACTCCATGTATAGAGAAGATGCTTCTCAACAGGATGCCTTGGAGAAAGAAGTGGGATCTGACAATTCTAGAGCTTCTTTCATACCTGAAACAGTATCTCAACAGGTAAAGACTTCTGCTAGAGCTTCTCAAACCCAGAGAAACTTGAAAACAGACATGTCTGGCACGAGGTTCAAGCCCAGTTGCTTCACAAGAACCTCACTGGGAAGACCACGTGTCTGTGACCAGCTTACTTCATGTACACAGACAAGCAAAAAAGCTAAGAAAAAAACTGAGATGCAGAAATATTTCCACTTATTTAGGGTTTTTTTTTTTCCTCATAATAATAATGGAATGCTAAAATTGCTTACAGAAGAAAAATAGTAACTTGCAATTTAGCACACAAGTCTTATTCACAGTGGAAAGCATGAGTCACTATTCCTACTGTTTTGCAAGACTACGCTGATAGTTAATTTAAGGCTTTAAAATTCATAGGATTACTCTCTCCATCAGACTTCCTAAAGACAAAGATAATGAGATTAACATACCTGAAAAACATACCTAGTGCTAGTACAGCAGGAGACTACTAATTCAGAAGACAACGGTTTTTAGGTACTCATTTATTTATGATCTCAATGTGCATAAAACTATAAAAGTGATTAATTTCATTTGGTGACTGGGCTATGAAAAAGGCCAAAGGAAGAGTTATTTCTATTCAAACAAACAAAGGTCTTTTCCTGCTGAAACCAAGCAATACTAAATTATTTTGAGGGGCAATAAAAACTAGGTATTTCACTTGTGAGTGGTCTTTTATTCTTTATAATGTTTAGCTAACTAGAAAGATACATCCCTATTCAAGGATGACAATTAAAAGTTTTTTTGGAACGCAACCATCTGGAGAGAACTAAAATAAATAAAAAAACAAGCAAATACTTTGCTAGACATAGCATTACCAGTATATGTTTAGACTGCAAATAAAAGCTTAACTTTAGGAACAAGTATCAATTCTTTCTATTATGACTAACCAGATAACAAAAATGTCCTCTTACCGTAATGCAGAGTAGACTCCCAAAGACAAGAAAGAATAGTCTGGATCATAGTACAGATAGACAGAGGACACGCAGTAGGGCAGGATATCAATTACTCCAACAGCAATTATCTTCCCATCCAGCCAGTACTGCTGGTGGAAAGAGCCATAGCCACATTCTGGTCCATTGGGTGCATTCTCTGCCTAAGGAAAACCAAAAGAGAGATGCAATCGTCTGACAGGGAGACTTGCAGTACAAAAAACAATTTTAGTAAGCATTTTAACACAAAAGTAAATACTGTGAGAAATTATTCCTGCTATCCATGGACATACAAAAAGAGAAAAAGGAGTTTGAGAAGCAGGGAAAGCAATGTTAGTTCCCTGCATCATTTGTGACCTTTGCTGTACCCATGATCAAGGAACAAGTATCAATTCTTACTATTATGACTAACCAGATAATAAAAACGTCCTCTTACCGTAATGCAGAGTAGACTCCCAAAGACAAGAAAGAATAGTCTGGATCATAGTACAGATAGACAGAGGACACGCAGTAGGGCAGGATATCAATTACTCCAACAGCAATTATCTTCCCATCCAGCCAGTACTGCTGGTGGAAAGAGCCATAGCCACATTCTGGTCCATTGGGTGCATTCTCTGCCTAAGGAAAACCAAAAGAGAGATGCAATCGTCTGACAGGGAGACTTGCAGTACAAAAACAATTTTAGTAAGCATTTTAACACAAAAGTAAATACTGTGAGAAATTATTCCCGCTATCCATGGACATACAAAAAGAGAAAAAGGAGTTTGAGAAGCAGGGAAAGCAATGTTAGTTCCCTGCATCATTTGTGACCTTTGCTGTACCCATGATCAGTAAACTCTACATATCACACATCCTAAACACCAATCTGTGGATCTGCCTCTGCCATCGAGGGGCTGTTATACTGACATGATAAAACAAGGATGTGATTCATCAAGTTATTAATGCATTATTACATGCAAACCAATTCTGCAGCTACTCTTTAATTTGACCTACTTGTTCTTCAACAAGACGTAGCCCGAAGGCAGGAAGGTGAAGGAGGGACATTTCACCACACTGGTGCTTCCCAGAGCTGCCCAGTTCCTCCAGCACTTTCTGCCACAGCAAAAACCCTGCTGTTTCTCTCCCCCGGTGTCCCCAGGTACTGGGAACACTTTGACCACAGAAATTCAGCTTTTTCAGAGTGGCCATTAAAGTTCCTTGAGAAGAGCATTTATAAAAAGAACTGAGCAGCTCACTCTTTATGTGAGGTTTACTCTTTATGACCAACAGAACACATTTTGTCTCAGAACCTGAAACTCTGCGTTGCGAGAAGATCTGTGGCACTTCTTTGTCAGCTTACATCAGAGTATCTTCTGCAAAAACACTAAGAACTCACTATTCTGTGTGCTGTGGTTTTGGATATGCAGTATGTCTCCGGACGGGGCAAAGCACCTAGAGCCAGGAACTGATGCTTCAATCACTATTCTTGTGCGCTGTGGTTTTGGATATGCAGTGAAGTATGTCTCCGGACGGGGTAAAGCACCTAGAGCCAGGAACTGATGCTTCAAATTAAGAAGAAAACGATCTCCTAATTTAAACTGTATTACACAACCAACTTTGGCATGCCATTTTCTCCCACGTCAAGTTTACTTTAATCCTGAATTCCACTGTGCTCAACTTAATTATCCATCTAGTCATGTTTTTCACTGCATTGCCAGATCTTCAGAAAGCTGCTTCTCACTCAATAAATCTGACAATATTGCCTACTATTACCAACTGGTTTGCATTACAACAACAGAAGGTGGGTTTAATCAAGTATTTTGATACAGTAGCGCAGACTGAAGAGATGATGGGCAGTAGAAGTTATTCTAATTGGTACCACATGTGTCAAAAGAAATCAATCACGTGAACAAAAATCCTTTCAACTGACTTACCCAACCAATAAGTCCCAAAATAAAGGCCATACAATAAAACGTTTGCATTTTCATATGGTTATATGGCATAAAACTAGTTCTGGAGCTGCAGATACTGTAAAAGTGAAACGATCAAACATTTGAGAGCTCAATCTGCAGTATATGAGCATATTAGACTCAGATACCAGCATATTAAACTGGGTTTCTTCTCATTCAGGTAAAATTCACTTATTCAACAGTTATGGTTTCATACAATATCCTCAACTTTCAGTAGAGCCAAATGAAATCACAAGGTCAGCAGTAAAACTTTTCAGCCAGGACACAGTCAAGTAAGAAGTTGTCTCCAGGGATTTCTCAGCCCAGGCTGAGTTCTCCTCTCGGCTCCCAGGGTGCAGAAAAAAATGAAACATCTCCTTCAGGCCACAGGGAAATGTGATTGGTAACATAACAGAGACTTCCTTACATGTCAGTTACAACAGATTTTCTTTCTTTGTCAAAAACTCATCATTTAGGATTTAATGAACATTAAAAAAGATTGTCTAAACCAACATGGAAAAGATTTGCACTCAAAGAAAAGTCTTCTGAAGTTAAACAAATGCTGTGTCTGTGTCCCTAAACCTCCAAATGGCATCATATGGGTTTGGTCACCAGACCTCTGCACACTGAAATATTAGCATCAGTGAAGAACTTGTAGTAAAGTATAAACTACAGTTATTTCTCTAATGCAATTACAATGAAATGTCACGAGCATAAAAGAGTCTATGTTCTGTAACAAACATAAGCAGCACAGCACTGATTTCAGGCAAAATGATCAGGGATCTCCCATTACATTAAGCAAATAACATTTTTTTAAAATGAGTACCATTTTCCTCCTCCTTGAAAAGTTTTCATACAATGTAATCTTTTGTAATGCTTGTAAGTATTATGTTTTCTCCAATTTCTCAATGAATACTTGGCTCCTTTTAACTTGATTTCTCATGCACCGTCCAGGCAGTTTGACATGAAACAGGTCTAGAATAGGAACCATTTTCCTGAGGCAGGTTATAGCATTTCACACTCCTGCCCTGTCCCCCTGGGACCACCCCTGTCAAAGGTGCTGTAAAACACACCAGTGACATCAGGTGAGCAAACCCCACCGGGGAGGGCTCACCTCATCTACCCAAAACAATACACATTAGCCCTGGAATCAGCCCAGAGGGGCCAACTTATTTAAAATGAACAATTTCTACTCAAACTTCAACACAATCAACTGTTATAATCTGATGATATTGAAACAATAAAAAACCCCACCACTAAATCCAGGGCAAAAATAAAAGCTAGCAATTCTCTCTCCAACATTTAAACTATGTTGCAGAGAAAAATACAATATATTCCATCACACGTTAATTCTACTTGTCTTCATATTCTGCCAGCTAATGATCCTGTGAACACATTTGATTGCTCATATTTTGTAAGGCATTATTAAAATTTAAATATTTAATAGCAACTGCAATTACATATTGCCCCAATTAGTACACCTCAATGTAATAACCATTCAGTGATGCTGAGAGCACTCCATTTTCTTCAAAGCACTTTAGTTTTTCCTCTTTACTTTTAAGAGATGTTTTATTACTTTATTATTATGGAAATTGCACTTATTAACCCACATGCCAGACCAGCGTGCAGCTGTAGAAGGCTCTGCCTACTCAACTCCCAAAAATGGAGTGACCATACTAACTGCACAATTACTTTTCTCTGGAAGGTTTCATGAAATTTCCTATCTTGAACTTTTCCATTTTACCCTCTGCTGTGGATGGAGATATGAAACCCATGCTAACCCTTACACAAAGAAAAAAGAAAAAAAAAAAAAGCAAAAAAAAAAAAGCCAGGAAACTCCTGACTGCTCCACTCCAGTGGAAATTATTTGCCAAAGAAGTGAAGTGATTAATTCCAGCAGTTGCTTTCCCAAAGGCACACACACACACAACCTACCATATGGTAGATTCCTATCTCTTGGTTAGCAACATATTTCCTTTTCACTACTACGTCCTCCTTTCGTTAGGGATTACTGGAGATGCTGTGAAAGTAGCCTACAAATATAAGCTGTGTCAGCAGAGAGGTAGCACTGCATATTTTTATTTTTAAAAAAGCCAGCAATGCACCCTGGCAGCAAGAAAAGGCCAACAGCATCCCGTGCTGCACCAGGGGGTGAGGGAGGTGAGCCTTCCTCTCTGCTCAGCACTGTGTTTTTGTTGTATTTCCCCAGTGCAAGAAAAATAAGGACTCACTGGGCAAGTCCACAAGGGCCATAAAGAGCAAGAGGCTCTGAGGTTTAAGTAGAGCTTGAGGAAGCAGGGACTCTTCAGCCTCGAGACCAGACGATGCACGGGGAGGGTTTATCGATATGTAGAAATACCTGATGGGAGGGAACGAAGATGAGGGAGCCAGATTCTTCCCAGTGGTTACCACTGACAGGACAAGGGGCAATGTGTGCAAATTAAAACACACGAAATTCAATCTGAACAGAAGGAAACGGGTTTTAACTGAGAAGGTGGTCAAACAATGGCCCAGGGTGTCCAGGGAGCCCATGGAGTCTCCATCCTTGGAGAAACTCAAAACCCATGGTCCTGGACAATCTGCTCTGTCCAGGGAGCCTGTAGAGTCTCCATCCTTGGAGATACTCAAAACCCATGGTCCTGGACAATCTGCTCCAGCAGGAGGGTTGGACTAGGTGAGCTCAAGAGGCCCCTTCCAACCTGAACAATTCTGTGATTCCATATCAAAACAAAGTAAATCAACTCACTGCATCAGGATATAAGACTCTGAATCCAGAGCTAATTTCTATACCTTACTGGAAAAGTGTGATACCATCAACTATTTAACACAGTGACAGTAAGCTTAAAATGCTAAAAAGATTAGTGAAGCTGTGAATGTAGAAGGGACTTCAATATAAAGATATGCAACAGTATCCCCATGCAGACATCATGGTGATCTCTACACTACTATAGTCAAGAAAAAAAAAAAAAGCCCTTTGCCAAGATGTCTTAATGAAATGAGTCTTGATTTAGTCCCGAGCAGTGCACTGAGTGTAACTTAAACATGACATTCTACAGAAGGCAATCCTGGGAATTACAGACCCATAATCACATTATTTATTACATCTCCTAGAAATTAACACGTATCAATAAACAAAATATAGTGGAGCAGAAGCTGATGTGCTTTTCAAAGAGCAAAGATCTTGATTCACAAATGTCTTTCAGGTCTTTAGGATTCCAAAGCACCTCAATACAGACAAAAGCAGACAAAATGAGAACAAACGATCATTTACATAATGGAAAGCACCTCAACCTTCCATCGTGGAGGATCTATGCTGTTCTCCACACTGGTACGTGAGTCACTGAAGACTGAACAATGTTGCTGCAAACTGCACTGATAATTTAAAAGTGTTCAGGATGATTAACAAGAGCTGAGTGTAAACAACTACAGAAAGATCCCGCAATATCAAGTGATTAAAAGGGCAGAGGAAATGTCAAATGTTCATAAATGTATGGGGAAAAATATTGCTATATCTAGACAATGGGATATAAATTAGCAATTCACTCAAAGAGATGCTTTTGAGAGCAGTTTCATGAAATCATTGATTTAATGCTTAGCGTCAGTCAAAATGGAAAAAGACTAAAGAGCAATTAGAGAAGGATTTGAAAAAAAAAACAAAAAAAAACCCCAAAAAATCCTCATTCAACTGTG